CCCCGGGGGAAAATTGCTTCGGCGGAATTCAAAGCGACGACAAATCGACGAAGAGAGAGAGAGAGAGCTCTCGCTACCGAGCCGTGCCGCAGAGAGCGTGGTTTTTCTAGCGGAAAGCCGGTGTCGAATTCTATCGATTTGATTCAGTCTCGAAGGGTCTTCGAGAGCGTCGCCTTTTCACTCGGCCAGAAGAATCACGTTTTCCCGGGGATTCGCATTAATCCCCTTTCTATTTCCACTGACAATCAAGACTAGTGAAATTTCATCGGGGATACGGAAGAAGATTCGTTCCGCTCAAAACAGCCACCGGAGTGAGGAAAATGTGTAATAAAATAGCGACGCTATTTGCTTTACCGTGGTGCCACCGACTCGCGGTGCTTTTGTCTTCGTTGATTGAACTTTTGTTTCCTGCTCGGTTACTCGACACGTGATTTCCTTTTGCCGGAATAAGTCGATCGAAGAAATTAGTAATACACAAATACGCACAGTGTGTTTCTCAATTTATGGTAGAACCTGAAAAAGGGTGAATCTATCAGAAGAAATAAGTTTTAATTTTTTCACGCAAAGTTTCATTTCTGTGTAAATCGACGTTGAAGATTCGTCGAGTACGAAGGAATATTATACAGACACTCGTTGACGGAACAGTACTGTGGACCAGGGTCACTCTAAATGCAAACGAATCCCTGGAAAGTGATCGAGAGTCCGGAATCGAGACGATCCACAGGGGTTGTTCTGGTTCATTCTTAGTCGATACACGCGTACTTGGCAGGTAAGCACATGCATTAAATGCGTTTCCAGTGTACGTCGAATCAAAATCAAATCGAGTTTGGAACGTGGTCGGATGACTGTGGAGGTAAGGAAGACAGGGGGATTCTCCCTCGAGCTCGAGACGACGTCGCTCCCTTAACTCACCCCGAAGTTTCTCAACTGTAATTCCGACTCGATAGTTGCCACGGTATTACGGAACTGCGCGCACCGCCCTAACTCCATTAATCATTACGGCTTTGAGATCGGCACGGGATCGTTTTTGAGAGGTGGACCCCGAACGAACAGTCGCTACGACTCGAATCCTAATCCATCTTGGATGGTATACTTACGACCGACGTCGATCTTACTTCTCTTGCGTAGAAATAGAGGCTGGCCTGTCTGTGAGTTGCGACCAATACCGTAACACGATCTCCCCCATTCCCGATCAATTTTACACACGGTCACAGCGGTGAGAAGGGGAATCCAGTTGATCAGTCGCGGCCTAACGTCGCTAGTCGGTGTTTAAAGTTTTATCGAGATCGAATCTTGATGGATACGGTTGGCTATTAGCGGTGATTGTTGACTTACGTGAGGTACAGCTGATCGAACATCTCCAAGATTCCGTACATCCCTCTGAGATGAAACACTTTTGCAACAGATCAGACTCTTCGTACAGCGAAGTAACTTGTCACGATCTGTCGAATAGAAGTTGTCTTCGTTCGTCGAGTCTTCTGGTATCGATTTAATCGTGTTTACTGAAAATTAGTTTTGTGTCAATTTCTTTCAATCGCGTTACTAATCAATAAGAAACTTTATTTCATGCGTGAAACATCTCTAGTGACATTTCTGAAGAGAAATTGAACTATTTATAGTTTTGTAAATTTATTCTGAGACAGATGAAAATGGCCGAAGAAGACCGAGTAACCCTCTATTTACACCCTTTCTCGATGTTCGTCCCAACGTGACACCTATTGGACCCGTTCATCCAGACGACGAAATTTCGATGGATGCAGACCGGATTCCCAACGAGGAAACGGGACATCACCGCGAGAGGGGTATTCCCCGGCTCTTCTCGAGCACCAAAGAACATGCCCGGCTTGACGTTTGTCGAGGAGCTCTCGTGCACTTGGACACGCCAAGTGAACCGGCTTAATCTGCATAATTCTAACTACCGGTGTAGCGGGTCGTCGTGTATTTCGAGGAACACGCGCGTCTAGCGCCCGTAATTCCACTAATATCGAGAATTGTTCGGTG